GTTCCATTAAAAACGATCGTAAAACACTGACCTAGTTGACAGTTTTGTTTTGGTTTTGTTTTATATACCGACAAATGTCATAAAATCTCTTGATATTTTGTATATCACGTGTATTCGAATATATTTTTGTGTGAATAATGCTTTCTAGCACACGTTCATCGTCTGAAGTTAATTTGAAAATGTTATCATCATCAAGCAACAAATTACGGATTCGATGAAGGATACGATCGATTTTCGTGACTAACTCTTTATTGAATGGCAATTCTAGAACTATAATAATATCGATTCCTGTTTGAATACCAGTAATAATGTGAGTTGCACTAGTTTGAAGTTTAGATGATTCATCAGAACTTTGGATCTTTGGTGGATTATTTGAAAGTTGTTCTTCTCGATCCAAATAATAATAGTAGAAAAAACGAGTATATTCATTTATTGGATAAGAATAATCAATAATGGCAGATATTCCTGTCTTTTCTCTAATATTCAATAATATACTCAATCGTAATTCATTTTCAACACCCATCATTTGTAAAATATTTAGTTTTTGATCTTTGCTATCATTTGTAATTATGCAATGTCTAACTTTATATTCTTCACTCTGTTTTTCTATACTGTTCACATTTACTTTTAAGAGTATACGATCTTTATATCCATCATAGAGTGAACCAAGACTTCCTGAAGAGTCAATAGCCTTGCGATTTGTACTATATAATGTTTGTTCATTCGACATGACAATAGCCGATGGTAATGGTAAACAACTTGTAAATGAACGTTACAAGCTAAAATCATATAAAAAAAGCTAAGAAATTCTTGTATTTTTGTGAAGACAACTAGTTGTATGAAAATGCTTAGTGCTTTCTAGGATAATGTAGAATTCTATATGGTCAGACACTATGTAGTTGGGTTGTCAGAAATATCCTGTCTTCGTAGAAGAACAAATCCGCTGAAAAGATGATTTCATACGGTTTTAAGGAGAGGAAATAACTCGTTATTATAGAAAGAAATATTTATTAGTATCTTGATATAACAAAGTCTAAGGCAAATTTCAAACAAAAAAAAATATGTTAACAGTTTGGAATTGCATAAATAAAATGAAATTAATTATCGTCAACCAGGTCAGAGTTTTATGATCGTTTTTAATGGGAATACGACATATATATGATCGTATTCAGCACAAGTACATTGTTGTATACAGCGGCCAGGATTAGAATGAAATACTGCAGGACGATGATTACAATCACTAGGGCAGCTAAAAACGGTACTGTATACTGTCGTTTCACATGGTTTGCGGCCGTAAGCAGCTGCAAGTTAATGGTTGACAGGTGCAGTATTACTAACATATTTTATCATGCCATGCACGGTTGATAAAAGTCGTCAAACGGTTCGAAAACCGAGCATCCAACTATTTACAACACAATGACGTATGGTCGTAATATTGTACCTATCAAACGGTAGAAAAGCCATGTAAAACGACCGTTTACAATCGTGCTTATTTGATTTAGGATGATTCTTTTTCGTAACTTGTCGCATCGTAAACGACTGTATACGGCGAAAATTACGAATATCTCTAATCATCGTCTTAAATATTTTTCATTGAAAAGGGAAATTTTTTCTACATAAAGTGAGATCAGTGAAATACGTACGATAGATATGTCAATTTTTATTTAGTAGTATGAAAAGTCTCTGAAGAAATCGAGACTCTTATTTTAGAGCATTTCATAAAACTTCAGTAAAAATTGAAACATACGTCGTATGAACCTCGGAGACGTGCCATT